TTAAAAGCCATTGTAATCTGTGCCTTGGTTGCACATTTTTTCTATTAGGAAACCACAGAACATCTCTACTCACTTGTATTGGGATTATCTTTCTAAATCACAGACCTGATTGGATCTCTTCTGCTCTGTGGTTAGTTGTCTTTAAATCATCTGGACAAAAAATTTCATTACAATTTGGCTGAACGTCATGTAGCACATCTCTGGGCCTTGCGCCTTATCCTGCAATGATGCTTGGTAGAGCAGAGCTTTCCAGAATTGCCTGAGGAAGAAACCATCAGAAGATTACTTCAACTGCCAAAAGTTAGACCAGCAAGTGAAAATTACTTCAAGCATTTCAAAATGTTCTAAGTCTTGAATTATCTTTATCAAGATTTTATATCATTTCCATAGTCACACAAAGTTTGCTTAGGTATTAAAAACAAACGGTTTTGTTTAATAAATGATGGCTGAAGAAAACAGTGCATGTTATTAATCAGATATTCAAAAAGCTTTAATAGTGTTGTAGAAAAGAAGTGACGATGGTGCCATTATCTGAAATGCCAGTACTAGGAGGGTTTTGTTTTTGTTTTTGTTTTTAGGTCTTCAGGGGAAAAGAACTTAGAGATAAGGGTGCTCTTAGGGATAGATGGGTATTTATTTTATATTTATAAAAAAACTTCGGGGTACTTGGGTGGTTCAGTCAAGCATATGATTTCAGCTCAGGTCATGATCTCAGGATCTTGGGATCCCTGCTGAGCAAGGTGTCTGCTTCTCCTTCTCTCCTTCTGCCCCTCCCCTCCTCATACTCTCTCTCTCAGACAAATAAAATCTTTAAAAAAAAAAATCTTCATTTAGCACGGGAGGTAGAAAGCAGATTTTTATTGCTATAGACATAATAAACATTCGAAACCTAACTCTCTTACAAATACGTAGATTTTTGTGTAAAACAAGATTTTCCTGTCCTATATAGCCATGCTTAAAAATATTTATTTCTAAATACTCTTTGTGACTAAAGAAGTAAGGAACCTTTGGAGAAATAACCATTTTTATGTCTAAGGCAGGAAATGTTCAGGTTGGGCCTGGAACATTTTGTCATACCAGAAAGCAAGGAAGTGATCAAAGACTACTGGGACCTTGTCAGAAGAGTTCAAAAAACAGCTTGAATAAGTTCTTGCAAGCTCACACCAGTAAAGATTTAAACTGTGTTTGGTTGAGACGTGGATTGAAACATATTTGCTATGAGTTCATAATTCTGCTTCAAAAATAAAAACCTCATTAGTCATGTTTGGAGAATAGTAGAGAACTACCTCATTATTTTGAAAAATGGTAAAGAAAGCAAATCAGGCACTTATCCTGTCTTTGTTACATAACCAGTACCTCACAGGGGAAATTTCTCTTTGTAAAACTAGTCTTGGCTCAAAAATGAATGATAGACTATGACTCTGCAGTCTAAAGAATTGGTGGCTCTGAACGAATAACGAATAACGTTAATAGCTAACAATATCCCAAAGGGAGTCAGACATGATGTGTCTCCTGATGGAAGTTCAAACACTGCAAGGTAATCCTGCCTCCAAACCCTCAATTAGAACTTGAATCCTATCTGGCCCGTGGATCAAATGATCCATTTGTAGGAACCCGAGGGATAGAGGAATATGTCAGACCACACCCATGGGATGCAGTGAGCAAAATCCAGATTGTAGTAACTGTACAAGAAACAACCCAGTTTCTTCAACAATAAAAAAAAAAAGAAAAGAAAAAATATAGATTGCAAAGAAAATAGTAGAAATGAAGAAGAAATCTACAGATAGAAAATATTTAAAGTACACATCAAAGAAGCACAATGTATGAATCTTTTTTGTCCAGATTCAAACAAACTGAAAAAATTAACATTATAATGCCTAAATTAATTTTATTTTCAGATGTGATAATGCTATTTGAGTTTTTTAATGCCCTTATCATTCAGACACACATGCTGAAATACCTGTAGGCAAAATGATGCTTGGCACTTATTTCAAAATAAACTGGCTTGGGGAGCAGAGGGTAGGATCTGGGACAGAGTATGGACTAGTATAAATGGAACAGGATTGGCCAATACTGATAACTGTTGAAGCCAATAGACACAACTGGTTTTTTTTACGTATCAAAAACTTTCAAAATAAGTTTTATATATATAAAATTTGGGGGGTGCCTGGGTGGCTCAGTCAGTTAAGCGTCTGCCTTCAGCTCAGGTCTTGATCCCAGAATCCTGCTCAGCAGTGGGCTGAGCAGAGAGATCGATGCTTCTCTCTATCCCTCTGTCTGCTGCTCCCGCTGCTTGTGTGTGTGCTCTCTCTCTGTCAAATAAATAAAAACCTTAAAAAAATTTTTTTTTTAAATAAAAGTTGAAACATTTTACATAAAAGTATGTAAGTAGGGGCACATGAGTGTCTCAGTCCATTGAGCGTCTGACTCTTGATTTTGGCTCAGATCATGATCTCCTCTTCGTGGGATTGAGCCCCACGTCTGGCTCTGTGCTCAGTGCGGCATCTTCTTGAGCTTCTCTCCCTTTCCCTCTGCCCCCTCTCCCCCTGTATATTCTCTCTTTCTTATGTATTTATAAATAAATACATACTTTTTTAAAGATTCAAGTATTTTATGTTGCACAGAACTAATAAAATTACAAAGTTTCAACCAGGTTTAAATGTTTAATTTTTTTTTTTTTTTTTTTTTACTAGTGTATACCTGTTAGAATGGCCAAAATGCAAAACACATACAAAACCAAATGCTGGTGAGGATATGGAGCACCAGAAACTCATTCATTGCTGGTGGGACTGCAGAACGGGTATAGCCACTTTGGATAGACACCAAAGACAGATTAATAACTTCTTACAAAATTCAGCATACTCTTATCATACAAGCCACCAATAGTGCTCTTTGGTATTTACCCAAATGAATCAAAAACTCACATCCACACAAAAACCTGCACATGGATGTTTGTAGCCGTCTCATTCATAATTGCCAAAACTTGGAAGCAACCAAGATACCCTTCATTAGCTGAGTGGTGCATTCAGACAGTGGAATAGTCAGTGCTAAAAAGATAAGCCATGAAACAACTTGGAGGAAGCTTCACTGTGCAGTACTTAGTGAAAGAAGCCGACCTGAAAATGCTCTATGCTGTAGGATTCCCCGCATGGCATTCTGGGGAAGGCAGAACCATGGAATAGTACAAAGATCCGTGGTTGCGAGGGATTGCTGGGAGGAAGGTATGAAGCAGCGGAGCAGAGAGGATTTTTAGAGCCATGAAACTACTCCGTATGACACTACAGTGGTGGCTTCCTGCCATCGTGTATTTGTGACAACTTGTAGAACGTGTGACACCAAGAGGGAACCCTACTGTAAACCATGGACTTGAGGTGGCGGAGCATCAGTGTGGGTTCATTGATTGCAACAAATGTACCAGCTAGTAGGGATGTGTATAGGGCAGAGCATGGAAGGGGGGAAAGGGGGGGGGTCTATGGGAAAACTCTGCTTCCATTCAATTTTGCTGTGAACAGCTCTAAAAAATAAAGTTTATTAATATAAAAAAAGGAAACCAGTTACATAGAGCTTCAGATAACAAAATATTTAAGCAACACTTTTTCTGTGTATATCACTCTGGTGTAAGGTTGGTGAAAGGTGTCATGAAATGGTCAGAAGAAGTATATTAATTAAAGGGAAGGCTCATGCAAGTAGTACGTGTCTTTCAGATTATTCAGATGTTTTTATATATTTTTATAAAAGCTTTGTCCAGAGCTTTTAGAAATAGAGAATACCAGGTTGAGGATTTCTTTTTTTCCAAGGGAACTTAAATGAAGCCCATTTCTAAAGTGGATTTTCTCCAAAGCTGATTAAAGAAAAGTGCGGAGCTTACCTAGCTTATATCACTGCCCTGCTTACCTTACATGGGAGGGGGTGGGGGAGCACGTGTCTCTTGCAGCATTTTATTGAAAGCCTACTCTATGTCTGGAACTGAACTAGACACCAGGGATATACAAGAATAAAATGGACAAAATCCCTGTCCCCGTGGAGCTTCTCTCCTAGGTCTGTGAAGAGGGAAAGAATAAGAGATGAGGCCTCCTTGATGAAGGAGATGAGGGCATGCCCCTTAAAACTGGGTCAGGGTCCAAAGTGAAGCCATAGCAGTACAAAAGCCTTGAAGAGGAGGTGAGCTGGAGGAGTTCCAGAAACAGCCAGGGGGCTGTCCTGATGGCGTGCAGTGAGGGAAAGGGTAGTAAGGAAAGGTGTCAGAATATATCAGGCTGGCTAAAGCTTGGCAAGAACTTTGGATTGTACTGGGGGATGAGCAACCCTTGGAGAGTTTCAAACTACAGAGAGAGAGCATCTGATTTTTGTCAGTAGGGTCACTCTGCCTGCTGTGTTGAGAATACATGGTGGGGGGCAAGGGTGCACATTGCGAGACCCAGGAAAAGACTAATATTGCAGAGCACCAGGTGAGCACTGACCAAAGTTGGAAAATACTTTGATGGTAGAGCCAGTAGAATTTGCTGGTGGATCATATGTGGTGGTGAGGGAAACAGAAGAGGCAAGAGTGGGCATGGTGTTTTTAGCCTGAGCAGCTGGATACAACAGAGCTCCCATTCCCATCTCCAAGCAGTGTGCAAGGGGGAGTTGTTGGCAAATGATGGAAGTATGACAAAGTTATGTAGAAAGATGAGACGTGACCCCAGTGCACACATGACAACTTTTTAATACCACACATCGATTTAAGGATGACAGTGAGACCAAGTTACATGAGAAAATAGGTACCTTAGAACCTAAAAACCTTGGGAGGCCCTCAGAGGAAGACGTGAAGTGGTCCTGCATGAACAATATGTGGCATTTCATCGTATCTAAGCAAATACGTGGGAGAGGGAGAAAGAAGAGAAAAGGCTCAGCTGAAGCAGGCCTTTTCCATCCCATTAGGGTTCTGCCCGGGGTCCTGACCTTGAATAGGTATCTTTTATGCTCTGGAGTTAATTTTTTCCTTATTTGTCTTTTTCTAGTTGGGGAATGGCGGTCAATGTGTATTCTACCTCGATAACCCAAGAGACTATGAGCAGACATGACATCATCGCATGGGTTAATGACATAGTATCTTTAAACTACACAAAAGTGGAACAGCTTTGTTCAGGTAAGAGATTCTTTTTTAAGAATGTATTTACCTAAATGTTTACTGCATATCATGTGGAATGTTACTTTATGAACCGCAGATGATGTATCTTGGGTAGGAAAAAATATTTATTGGTATTGATCTATAATTAAAGGGGGGAAACTCAGATACAACTAAAGAACGTGCAGAGAGAAATGATCGTGGGCATCTAAAAGCATAGAACAGTCCTAACACATATTATGAACGGTCTATAATGCTGCCTTATTGGTCTTCTCAGTCATCCCGTCAGCCATTGCACTTCTGCCTTATTGGTCTTCTCAGTCAGCTCTTCTCAGTCATCCTGTCAGCCATCGCACTTCTGTTCCTAAAACATAGATTGGGTCTTGCAACCCCTTCTTAAAAAACCTCCCAGACTCCACCTTGTCCTTCCTACAGGATAAAGTTCATTCTTTTTCATGGCTGATAAAGTTTTTTCTGTTTTTGCTGCATCGTTCCTCCTCAGTTTCTACCTCTCTCCCTGCACCACCCTGTGCCTCAGTCCCACAAAATCCTCTGTTCTCCACAGACTGCCTTTTGCATTCCATAACTTGTTTCATGCTCCTCTTGCTAAAAATGTCTTTCTTCTTTTCATTTGTGTTATAATCTCTTTCACACTTAAAAATCTGACTCCGTTGTCACTCCTCTGAAGAGTTCCCCAGATCTCCCAAAACACTGTGCCCACTCTTCCATAGTAAGACTTGACCACGCTGTGCTAGAAGGTCCAACTCCTTCTCGCCTGAAGGCCCCAGAAGTCCTTGAGGACAGGACTGAGTTTTATTCTTCATCAGATGCCCAGGGTGGCACCATGCCTGATATCAAGTAGGTTTGCAGGGAATGCATGTTGAGTTTAAAAAAAAAAAAAAAATGAAGATTTGATCAGTGATAAAGTAGGAGCATGTTTTTAAAAACATGCCACTGGTAAAGTAATTCATCTTTAAAGTGTTTATCAGAGAGGGTCTTCCTTTGGATGTACGAAGTATTTTCTTCTTGTGAATTATGGGTAAGAGTTTTCCTCTCTGGCTCGGACATGAAAATGGTATTAGGAAGTATTCCTGAAGTGTGTTTGCATGAAATTCCACAAGACATAACAGATAGAAGGGAGTTAGCAGGTTCAGCTGGTACAGCGGGAAGACCTCCTGTCTTTCCTGGGAGACGCATGTGTAAAGAGATTTCATGAAGCGTCATCAGAATTTGAAAAGCCCCAGGAGACCCCTCAGTCCAGCACCCACCAGTGACTGTTTTCTCCTTTGCCTAGGTCAAGATTTGAGAACAGATTCTAGAGGACAGATTTTCACTTCTCCTGATACCTCTTCTCCCATGATAGTTTGTCTCCCAAGGAACAGAGTGGGGTTGGCTAAAACTGAGGCATTACCTCACTCACCCTCCTTGTGCCCAGACCTCAAACATTAAGTCCTATGATTTGTGAGGTCAGTAATAGATGCTCACCAGCCAGTTCTTTGCCCTTGAGTACAAGCTACAGAAAAGCTGGCATAGACTGGCATAGACATGCGAAGTCTATATTGTTGGCCTATTGAAAGGACTCCAAGTAGTCACTGTCGGAAACAGCCCGTTGCATCTCATTCAACTGTAGATTCTACGCAATCACATTTTATGGTACTGTTCTTGTTATGCATTCTAGAGCACTCTAGTAATTTACTTTGCCTGGGGGAGAAACCCAGAGTTTTCTGCTGTTAGCAATTCCCTTGTTAAAAGCGCATATCCCTTCAATATCATAATTGTTGGTAATTCCATTTCTCCACTGTGCCCTACACATACTCTTCCCTCAGAGATGCTTGTTGCTGGGTGAATGAAAATCCGCTTGCAACTGCTAGGGGCAAAGACAGAAAGTGTATCTTACTCTCAAAGTGGGTGTATGCACCTGCGGATAAGGGGATTGGGGCTGGTTATCAAGAAAAGAGATGGGAAGGAAGGAGTTCAGTGGTGGATGAGCCCGTGAACAGCTTTCTCGGTAATAAGCGTGGAGAGTTTTTGCTAGCAAATGCAGTGAGAAGGCAATTAGGATTTTTAGATAGAGTAGTAATAGATGTAATAAATGTTCGGATGATAAATGTAATTTTTTTGCCGATCTTTCATGTTTCTAATAAGGCAAATTCAACAAAATTTTCAGCGGCCTTTGTGAAACATTCTTGTTCCGTTCTCTTAAAGCATTGGTATGCATTTTACAGCCGCTTGCAGCTGGATGAAACCTGCTAGAAACCATTCTGGTCACTAATGAACAGATAATTTTTATTAAGATAACTCACTGGCTGCCTAAAGTTACAAGGTTAGTGATTCAGAAGAATAAAGTAGATGCAAAGGTTCCTTTCCGCTCTGAAACAGGTTTTTACTCAAAAATAACTGTAGTACAGAGGATAACTTTCTTTTTCCCCCCTAAATCATGTTAATCCATGTAGTACAAAAACAGGTCTTTAATTTTAGGTAGTGGTTTCCTCAAACTGTAGACCTTATGCATTGATAATTTATAGGGCTCCTTAAAAATGCAGGTTCTTCGGATCCTTGACCTTCTAAATCAGTTTCTCTGGATGTGAAGCCTAAAAACTGTATTTTAACAAGCACCCCAGGTACCTTATGCTGTAGCCAAGACCTTGCAGTGCATTTTAGAGAAACCTCAAACCACTAGAAATGAAGTTAAAATATCCAAAACCTATCGGGTACAGTTTCCTCATTCATAATTTAGTCTGTGACTCCTCTGTTCAGCAATGGCATTTCATAGGAAGATGCCATCTTTTTATTTATTTATGAGTTTATTTATTTATATCCTTCACTGTTCTAGAAGACATTTAAGGCAGCTAGGACAGTGCTATTAGGACAAGAACAAATCACTAAGGGATTTCTCCTCCTCATACTTACAAGTAGTCAAATTCTTGGATATGTTTTTCTCCTTCAACTTTTATTTTTTTTAAGATTTTATTTATTTGTCAGAGGGAGAGAGAGAGAGAAGGAGCACAAGCAGGGGTAGCAGCAGGCAGAGGAAGAAGCAGGCTCTCCACCTAGCAAGGATCCTGATGTGGGACTTAATCCCAGGACCCTGAGATCATGACCTGAGACAAAGGCAGACATTCACTGAGCCACCCAGGCGTTACTCAACTTTTATTTTAATGACTTCAGTTTACACCCCTGTATAGAAGCATCTTAAAAGAGAGGTGGGGGGTGCCTGGGTGGCTCAGTGGGTTAAGGCCTCTGCCTTCAGCTCAGGTCATGATCTCAGGGTCCTGGGATCGAGCCCCACATCGGGCTCTCTGCTCAGCGGGGAGCCTGCTTCCCTCTCTCTCTCTCTCTGCCTGCCTCTCTGCCTACTTGTGATCTCTCTCTCTCTCTGTCAAATAAATTTTAAAAAAAAAATCTTAAAAAAAAAAAAAAGAGAGAGGTGGTGTGAGAAGGCCTAACACTTGGAGATAGATTGCAGTGAGTTGCAAAACAATGAAAATGACTCACTCTTACCTCCTGGTATTTTATCCCAAGAATGTAACCTTATGAAAATCTCCTTTGAACAGTAAATCTGGGCCATAGAATCATATGCATATTTAGTGTGCATTCATTTCTTGTGAAAAGCAGCCTTTACGTTTCAGGTGAAAAATGGGGCTGGTAAATGGAAAGCAGTTTAACAGGGATGGGCACATGCACCCATAATCACAGGACACCGTACAGCTCACCTGAATCTGTTGTAAAAATGCGCAGTATCTGTGGCTTTCCCACGGTTGAAGTAGGGGATTGAACCCCATGAGGCACCAGACTGATTCAGCTTCAAAATACTAAGTTAGAGTTCAGTTGCTTCCTAAAATTGCTATGGCTTTTTGTGGGGTGAGATACTTTGTTTTTGCTCCCGACCAGCTCAAACCAGTGAATATTCTGTAAGGTACTCAGAGGAAAGATGGACAGCATGGTGCTAAAAATCCAGGAAAGGAAAAAAAAAAAAGAAAACAAAACAGCTTTAACAACTTGAGATACCATGTTGGAGATGATAGGAAAAGTAGCAGACTATGTGGAGAGGAACGGAAAGAAATGGGAAGAGGAATTTGATGGGGGTGGAAGAAATGTCCCTTTTCCTTTTCCTCTGCACCCCACTTCCCGTTCCAATACACCAAATCTCCTTTGAAACTTTCAGCACCCATTTTTGTGTCCTCACCCTCTCTTGCTGGCCAGGATCTAAGCAGCAAAGCCACTGGGTCTGCTGCTGAGTCACTGCGGGGGCTTGGCCAGCAACCTCACGACCAGCAGCCTCAGCACCAGCGGCTCTCCCATTCCTCCAAAGCCTAGTGCAGACTGCCTGTCCTCTCTGTGCAACCTTCCCTTCCTCCTTCCCACCCACTCTGCAGGACAGGCCAACTGGGGACTTTTTACACCTTCAGAGATACAAATTGTGTGTGGAGGTGGCGGGTGGGGCACTGCCTGGACTATCCTGTGCTGGCTGACAGCTCAGTTACCTTCCTGAGCATTTTAGTATTTTAGTAAAATTTAATTGGAATTAAACTATTATTTCAGATGGAAAATCTAGGTACTTTCTTCACTAGCTTAGAAAGAAACATGATCAGTATTTGATTCAGTTTCAATTTGTGCTTCTCCAAATTGTTTCAAGCTCTGTCTTGGATCAAGTTTCTGGTATTTTTTTTTCCTTCGGGGAAAGCGTCTAGATTCAGCTGGTCCTAATGCAATCGCTGTGGTCACATTTACAATTCTGGGGCCTTGATGGCTCTCCGGAAAGGAACTAGGTTTCACAGAAACACTCTGGGGTTCACAAAACTGTGGCTGTCTGCCATGCCCCAGGGCCTGGACAGGTGCTGTGAGCCCCGCAGAATATTTTTTGTGACCGTTTCTGGCTGCAGACTGTGCCTCGTAACTAGGTTAATCCCGTCCTAGTGTGTTGTCCCCGTGCCGTTTTTCTTCTGTCCGCAGAGACCTCTTTCAGGACAGGTTAGTGATGAAATCAGCTCATGTCTAAATTTAGTAGACCTTCTCCTGTT